GCAAAGATATCTTCTGGTATCGGAAGGGGGTATTGATGGTCGTCCAATGCGGCATTCAAGCCGGTCGAAAAATCGGCGCAGACTCGCACTTTACCGTTCGGCTTTTTCACAGCAACAATCGGCGTAGCCCATGAAGAGTAGTTCACTGGTGTGATGACACCGGCTCGTTCCAGTCGGTCGAGCTCCTGATCAACTGCTGTCATGGCTGCATACGGTACCGGTCTTTTTGCTCTAAAGACTGGCTTGGTTCCTTCACGAAGACACAACTTTGCTTTGAACTTAGTGCAGTGGCCGAGACCATCTTCAAACAAGGTGACAAACTGCTGCTTTAGCTTTCTGGTCATCTCTTCTATCGACAATGATGAATGTACTGGGTCGGTTTGTACTGTATTGCAAATCTGACTCATTGGAGCATCAAACAGTTGTAATTTTTCCATCCAGTCAAGTCCAAGGAGGTTCAAGTTTGGTCGATCAGACAAGTAGCAGGTTCCGGCCTTTTCCACTCCGTTGAATGCAATTTTGCAATTTATTTCTCCGACCAACTTCAGCACTCCACCGGATGCATTGTGAGCGATTTTGTTGGAATCAATCATTTTCGGCTTCTTTATGTGCTTCCAAGTGTTCTTGGAAATGATCGTTATATCTGATGCCGTATCGAACTGCAGCCGGGTTGGGATTCCGTTGATAAGCACAGTGATAAATCGGCGGCGTGTTCTAGAATGGCTGTGAAACGTAGCAATCACCGATAGTGATTCTGCGTCAGGTTTTCTGAAATTCTTCCTTCGGTAGGACTGCTTCACATTTCTTGGCCGGGACTGATGGCAAAAGTCTTCCTTGTGGCCGCGTTTATGGCACTTATCACAAATATGACGCTTGAATGGACAGTATCGTGCGAAATGCCATTCACCACATAACCAACAAGGTGTAGGCGGCTTGTTCGGCTTTCTGTTGAACGACTTATTCGAGCCAGATTTTCTTGCTTTTTGCACAGCATGAACAGTATCGGCAATGGTGGGGCGACTCTGCTCAATCATAGCCGTGTCGTGTTTCAAGGTAATTAACCGTTTGCATTCGCCTACAAGAGACTTCAATGTCAAATCTGGATCTTGATCCAAATTAACAAGGAGCCGAGTGCGGATTTCCGCGTCGCGTGGAGACTGTAAAGCACTGACAAATATAAGACACTTAAACTGGTCATCCGTCAAACAGCGTAATTTGAAACGTTCACATTCGCGGTTAACCATGTCTGCTAGTGCCCCATAATCGTCTGTATCACGCTTTACAATTTTTAGACATTGATAGCGAATGCTAAACAATGATGTTGACTCACCAAAAATTTCTTTGAGTGTTGCCACTTCTTCGTTGAAAGTGATGTCCTTCGGCTCTTTGGGCAATATGTGGTCAAGGAATCTTGTATGTTCATTAGTTCCCAGCTTGCGGAGCAAAAGGCGCACTTTCCATGAATCATCTTGACGGCTGAAATCCGTCTGGAACATATCCTCCCAACGTTTGAACCACGCCTCGAAAGTGGATTCGGAATCAGCATCATAATGAAATTCAGTGATTGAATTCGTAAGAAGATCAAGTGAAACAGCCTGCGTGTCCCGTGTAGCTGCTCCGTTTGATTGTACGTTTAAGCACTGCGTTAAACTTTCAATCAGTTTCATTTGTGCTTCCATCTGGGATTGGTGCTGAAGAAGCAGCTTTTGAAAATGTTCGGCAGAAAAATTTGTAACATTTCCGTGCTTGTCCGTCGCCATTGTTAGATCTTCCCTTTTTCGCTATTCTCGTTCCGCAGTGAGGCGACGAACGATAACCGAAGTCAGTAATTTTGTCACAACTGGCGTTAAGCTAATACCCCTGTGGTTAGCACAGTCAGTGCGACTGCCCTTCTTGTATATTGCCACTATAATCGATTCACTCCAGTTAGCCGGGCCACTTCATACCAGACATGTTCAAATAGACAGTGCTTTGCAGAGGACCTCACCCCCATCCTTAAATAGTGGGAGGGAATCAGGGCCAGCGGCACGAAAACGATTGAAGTCCGTGATGGCGTTTCGGAGCTCGGCCTCCGACGGAGGTTTTAAACCAACTGTCCATGACTCGTCCTGCATCATATGTGTAGGACGACGTCCGTCAGGTGGTGATCAACTGAATGATCGTGAAAGTATCCTGCCCAGCGATGCATTCGACGCTCTTTATTGTGTATCAGCGCACTCGCGCTGTCTCACTGACACCTGGATTCCTGGGAACGGTTGTGCGGATCAGCTGGAACAGCTTGCGGTAATTGCCTACTGCGCCTGCGTCCTCCAATTTTTGAGCCCGACTGATCCACCAGGCTTCCTTGTCAGCACGCAGGGTTCGCTTTAGTTCACGCCTAATAGTCCGTCTGGTGACCTTGCGCTCAAAGCCAGCCGGGAGATTTCTTCGGGATTCCAACAGGCTCACCGACCTCTCGGCTACCCATTGACTGGTGCGGTGACGATGGATTGTGCCACAAGCAGATGCTCCTGCGTCGTGCATGGCGGCATAGATTGTTTTCCACTGAAACTCAGTGTCATTAGGACAAGAGAGCGAAAGTTCAGTAAGCAGTGCGTCTTCATAGGCTTGCTTAACTGAGGGCTGAGACAATTTCTCATTTGCCAATCGGAGCAGACGCTTGGTGCACCTACCGGTAAAGTTCATGGAGAAACGACAGAGTACAAAGGGATTTTCAGAGTTGACGTAAGTATTTTAGTGCGACCGGCAATCCACGATGGTACCAAATAATCTGTAACTTATGGTCCATCGCTGGCCAGCTACATGAGGATGCCAAGTGGCATTTCGGCGCTTATTGTCAAAAAGTAGTGCTACTAAGAAACAACTGGTGCTCCGCACACAGTTGTAGCAGACGCTCACCGTTGTCAGTCCGTTCGGAGTTAAGCCCATAATTACCACCAGCTGAGCTTCTGAAGAGCTCAGACGCCCTACTTGTGCGTTCATATCCCCTGCAAGTACTATAATATCTGAACTAGTAGCACTGCGTAGTAGCGCGTTCAGTTCGTGATAGAATGTGTCCTTGACAGCATCAGAACTGCAGTCGGTGGGAGCATAAGCGGAAATCACAAACAAACAGCGTTTTGTACTACTTCGTGAATCAACCTTAGCTGATGTCGTCAAACGGGCTGCACATAAACGGCTGTTCACCGGAATCCAATCAACCAACAATAGCTCAGCCTTGGAGCTTAGAATGATACCTACACCAGCTTGATCCGTGAGTGCTGCATCGGTGTCTCCGGATGAGTGCAGCCAATAACAAGAGAATAAACCGGGTGCAGTTAATTCAACAACTGCATTAGGGGCATTGATCCTAGTTTCGGACTCACAACATACATCAATACCCAGTGTGTCCAAGGTGCGTGCGAGTGCAGCCTGTTGACCTATTTGCCTTAGAGTACGAACGTTGAACGTCGCTAAGGAAACGGGACAAGGTGACCGTACAATGGACGGTTGCCCATAGGCGTCCGGTGGGTGTTGCGGGAAGGTGGCTGCAAATGGTTTAACTCCAGTGGCACTTCGGTTGCTGTCAATTAAGCTGGAAATTATAGGTTAGTAATGGGGGTCAGGATGGGAGTAAGAGAAACAGGTTGAAAAAAAGAAGGGAGACGTCATCGGTAGTATGTTTTCGCTTGTCCGCCCTGCTGTATGCAGCAGATAAGGCGACTCTTGCTAATCTGCCCGACGGCCGGTGCAGCATGTAGTTGGAGTTTAGACAAATTGTCATGGTTGTATGTGGGCTGAGATACCGTCAGGGCGCTCAAACCTATATAAGATGACGATTACGGTCCTCAACCAAAGCCTATGGCTCAAAATCCTGACCTCACGGCAGCGGGGAGGTGACAATGATTTAGTTTTACAGAAATTTACGCCATTTTATTTAAAAACCCCCAAAGCAGGAGGACCAGGAGACTGTGTATCTAACCTCTAACCATTAACCAACCTGGTAGGAGTAGCTCGCAAGGGATCCGGAGACATCACGCAGTATAGCTCAATGGGCCAAAGAAGTATGCAAACCGTCACACCACGTTAAGGTCCAGTCTCGTTGCGACGGTAAAGAAGGGCATCAGCAGTACGCCGGTAGGGAGTACCGACGTTTCGCTGCCGCGCAACCACTACCGGTCACGCGTGGTCTAAAGATACTGCGACGGCCGCGCTGCCCCTAAGCAGGCTCGAACTCGTGCCGCGAGATTACGAGACAAGCTTGTTATCACTAGGCTACGGGACGGCGAAACGACTGATAGCCAATGATAACCTGTCTAAAGCTGCTTGGCACATTTGGGAACTGTCGAATTGGGCTAATGTTGTCGGCATACTCTAAGCCGAGAAGTCGCTTCCATGGAAGCAGCTCCACACCTAAGTCGTGCCTAGTGAAGGCCGATTCCTTGTCTACGTCGATGGCGAAGTTAAATAGAGAAGGTGCTAGCGGGTAACCTTGTCTCACACCGCTGATATTGAAAGGCGACGACAGTTTGGCATATGCGAGTACAGCACCCAGAAAATGTATATGTATTTCTCGGTCACACCTTTCTTGAGGAGACAGTCCCAGTTCCAAAGTAATTTAAGCTTATGATTCGCTGTCATACAAACATGATGCCATGTGCGAAAGCAAAGTTGAACCGATATAAAGAGGCAATTAAGTTTTCGGTTCGGAATAAAGACCACGTACTCAAGGTAGACGCCGCATAGCTAACAAAAAGAAAATATGCGGTATTTGAAAATCAAATACGGGGTGTATGACGATAGTGAAAGTAGGGAATACAGTCTAACGTGGCGAAAGGTAGTTGTTTCAGTGACTTGAAAGCAACAGAAACAAAGAAGGGTAGTCCCAGCGCATTGCACAAGGCAAAAATGGCGTTGGAAAGCGACCTGACAAACCAACCGTCTAGAGACTAAATTCAATGAGACTGCCGTCAACAAAAAGCAAGGAAGCAATGTAAAGGGGATGAAAGAATAGGGCTTACCTTTTGCATCTACTTTGATTAAGGATGACGCAGTTATTTCGTGGTACAGTAGCCCGAAAGGGTTAATAAGAAAATGTTCATTCCTTGAACTTATACGAGCCTATGAAAAGCGAGAACGATCGAGAGCGTTTTAATTGTGGTTAAGAGTATAAAGCAAAGACATGACGGCATTCCCAGCATGCTAACAGAAAACAGAGCAACGGTGATCGGCTTACCGTAACGTGGTTGTGGATGCTTGTATTCCAACCAAATAAATCAATCAACCTGTAAACAGAGGCTAGTTTGCATCGCAGCGCACGCTCCCTTCGAGAGTAGAAGGTTGCGTCGATACCTCGCAGATCATTGATGGGTATAATGCCGTTAGGTTGCCCTATTGGAACAAGCAACGGGGTAACGGGATGAAAAATAGGAGAGAATGGGATACAATAGTGACAAAATAAAATTTAACTAGTGAAGGTAAATAGTTTTAACCAGCAAAACCTGTGCTATATTGGAACAAGTTACAGATAATATAGAGGATCTAGCTCATTCAATCCCAATTGTTGACATACTAAACTAAGCCGACGACCACCGTTTAGCAATCCGCTGTGCGCCACGCTGAGGTGGGCACATCGGTGTCTCTCGATGCGAGCAACGCTTCATTGGTAATAACTGCGGCAGTTATGAAGGATTTTAATGTTGATTGGGTCAAATCTCACTGAATCAAAGTACCGGACACGATGTGGTCATGTATACCCAGCTTTTATGGCCCCCAAGTGGTGCCGCAGATGCCACTAATGCAAAAACAATACTATTTGTTCCCGAAAGCTTGACCTACATTCAGCGGCCAAAAGCCCGTCAAAACTGGTGGACTGCTGAACTATCTACAGCTTCTATCATCGGTAATCGATCAGAGAATCGAGATTTGTGGTCAGACAAGGTAAATGATCGGATGCAATGGAAATGCAAATGACTTGGGACGATCCAAAGACATAACCCAAAATGAGCAAGTTTTCTTTGGACAGCATCACCTGACTTACTTCGTGGAGACCAGGATGACGTATAACAGAAAAGGAATAAAACGCAAACGATGCAAACGAAAAAAACGTCAAAAAGAAGCCAGTTCATTCGGCTAATTTGGTGTAACAGAAGAAACTGGAAAAAACGATTAGGAATCAACTACGCTATTCGCCGTCATCGAAAGGAGACTGGACCTTGTATGTATGCATGTGTTGGCAACAGTCTAACGAAGAGACACAGAGCCAAATAAAAACATGGAAATCGTAAGAATATAGGTTTAATCAGCACATCATAATCATGGGGCCTTAGCTGCAGTTAATGTGCCATAAGAGGAAGGGAGTTGTTTTTGTTATTTTTCACATGCCGATTTTTAATTTTTGGTCGTTTTCAATTATTGAGCATTAGTCACCTGAAACTAAACAAGTATGTACACAAATCTTACAGTGGTTTCGACTATGCGCCATATCTTGCAATGTTTCTAGCTATCGGCACTCTTCATCCTTTGGTCCCCAATCAGGCAGGCATGTGGATCAAACGGCAGAAAGACGTTAAGTCAACAATTTCATATACTGACGCTAAGTGGACGGCTGATCCCTACGCGGTCTCTTTTTCGCTCTCTTTGGCTGGCCTGCCAAACAACCTCTGCGTGGTGCCAGCTGGGAGATTCGTGTATTTTCCGTTCCGGCGAATGGTTTGGCTGCAGTGTTCCAGGACGTGATGGGTTTAAGCCTGGCAAGCGTTCTCCCTATAAAAAGCCAGATATGTTCGTTTAACAACACTATGACGTGGCGGATGTGACTCGCCACTAAATAAAGTCATTGCGCCTTGTCTTCTCGGAGATACTGTATATCGGCAAGCAATCCTAGCATTGAATTCTGTCTTTGACTTCGGGAGTGTTGGGCCTTTGGTATGGTTTTCGTCATTCGAAAAGCGTATGAACTGAATCTTCTGTCACCGGCTCCCAATGGGTGCGAAACCCCTAGTTCGCTCCGCTGTCTTTTGAGTTAGGTCTTTCGACCAAAGGCTTAAAGCCGTGGTCCACAAAGACAACCCACCTACTTCGACTTAAGCAACCGGGTAGTATTTCGTCCACTAATGAGCCAAGGATACGCACAACTCCGACCTCCCTCGCTCTCATGATCCACTGTCCTACGACTACGCCTAATTTACAAACACACGCAACCAAGGTACATAATATTTCCTTGCACCACTCATCCCCATTCTTACTTGATTCTTCAACTGTGAACAACCTTACCTCGCCACCCGTCAAGTCAACGACACCGTCCTCGACAGGGAGTTACCAGCCCCGAAGTCTGCCATCTTCGCTACTGTGACCTGGAATGCAGTTCAAACCGGCAACCCCCAATGTGCGCACATTACTGCAGATCGGACAGCAAGCTGGAGTGAAACACGACTGCAGGATTCCAACACAATTTACCAGCTGTCGTGATCAATCCAACCACACACCCACTTTTATCTTCGCGCTGAGTCCGCCGCATCTGGGCAAACTGAAATTGGAATCGCCCTAGGTGCTAGAGTCGAGGCTACCCTTCTTGACTGGATTCCAGTCAACAGTCGCCTATACGCTGTGAGGCTCCGTGACTCTTGTAAGGTTAGCAGGCATCGCGCAGACAAGCGTGCTCTTTTCGTGATCTCCGCCTATGCGCCCATTGACTGCAGCTCGGATACAGTCAAGGACCAGTTCTATCAACATCTTCATGAGCTGCTCTTAAGGGCGCCTAAAACAGACATCGTTGTTATGGCAGGAGACTTAAACGCACGTATTGGTCGGCTGCTGCCTTGTGAAGGCCACCTCGGTGGACCGCACGGTATGATGATGTTCGCTCTGACAACGAAGAGAGACTGCTCAGTCTTTGTGCTGACCACTAACTTTTCCTCTCCAGTACGAGCTTCCGTCACCCTGGACGCCATGCCACCTGGCGTCCTCCATCGTCAACCCAGCGCTGGTCACAAATTGATCACATAGTCATAAGTCGCAGGTGGCGCGGCAGCGTACGCGATTGCCGATCATTTTGGTCAACTTGTGTTGACACCGATCATGCATTGGTGTGTGCGATAATTTGTATGCGTTTCGGCGGTTCACCCAGGGTCAAGCAAACCCGACTCAACACTCACAAGTTGGAGGACCCAACGGTGAAAACGCAGTATCAACAGAGGCTTCGCGAAAATCTCGCTCTACCCCATGCTCTGGATGTTGATCAACACTGGTCAAATTTGCAAAAAGCAATGCTGTCCGCCGGCTTGTCCAGCTGCGGACTCACCCGCTGCACAACCAGAAGCTGGATTTCGGTAAGATCCTCGGAACTGCTAGATCGTCGACGGGCTGTGCCCGCCGGTGCGGAGCACAATGAACTTCGTCGGTCTATCTCTCAACAGCTGAAGTCAAGCCTTCGCTCTGACCGTGAATCCTGGTGGTCAAAACGAGCTGCTGAGATGGAAGCCGCTGCATCGGCTGGAAACTTCCGCAGTTTATTTTACCTCATCAAGACCACTGGTTGCAATTCACACGCTGTCAGTCAGACGATTTGTGAGTCAGACGGCACGAAAATCACCAACCTGCACAGGCGCTTGGGTCGCTGGGCAGAGCACTTTGCTTTCCAATTTAACTGCTCAGCACAGCCCACTGTGACACCTCCGTTTCCCTCGGATGGTGCTTGGCCTATCGCCACAGATGCTCCTACCGAAACAGAGATCCGAAGCGCAATCCAATCTTTGAAGCGTCATAAAGCTCCCGGTCCTGACAGCCTACCCCGGCTCTATTCAAAGATGGCGGGAATGCACTTGTCAACGAAATGCTATCACTGTTCACGAGAATTTGGACTGACGAGAAAGTCCCAATTGCATGGGGAGAATCGGTCATTGTCCCGATTCACAAGAAAGGCTCCCGCGAGGATTGCGCCAATTACCGCGGAATTTCGTTGATCTCTGTTGCCTCCAAGATTTTCGTGTCTGTTCTACTCCGCAGGCTCTCAGCGACTAGAGAAGGCGTTTACCGAGAGGAACAAGCGGGTTTCCGTCCAGGTCGAGGTTGCATTGACCACATCTTCACACTCCGCCAACTTCTTGAACTCCGTCACGTCCACCGACGGCCAACAATCGTAGTGTTCTTGGACATCCGAGCGGCTTTTGACTCAGTAGATAGATCTGCGTTGTGGAACTGTCTACTAAGGAAAGGTGTGCCCGACAAGTTTGTAACCATCTTGAAGGATCTCTACAGTCACACGTCGGGCAAAGTCAGGGCTTACGGCACGCTTTCCACTTCGTTTGCTGTCACCAGCGGCGTGCGCCAAGGTTGCCCCATCTCACCTTTCCTCTTCAATTTTGCCATTGAAGATGTCGTCCAACGAGCATTGGAAGGCCCTCAAAACTGCGGTATTGAGCTTCTCCCAGGTGACAGAGTCGCGGACTTGGACTACGCCGATGATATCGCTTTGCTTGGGGACGATCCACAAGCCGTCCAGAGCGCTCTGAACCGCTTAGCGATGGAGGCATCTAAGTATGGCCTGTGTTTCACGCCAGGCAAATGTAAAGTACTACTCCAGGATTGGCAGATGCCTGTGCCTGCCCTCACCATTGCTGGTGACGTCCTGGAACAAGTCCACTGCTTCACTTATCTAGGGAGTTGCATCACAGCTGGCGGCTGTATTGGAGATGAGGTCTCACAACGGATCGCAAAGGCCCGCCTTGCATTCATCAGACTGAGACACTTATGGCGCCGTCGCGACGTCAGTCTCAAACTCAAGGGCAGGGTATACATTGCCTCTGTCCGTGCGGTCCTCTTGTACGGTTGTGAGACCTGGCCGACTCGCTCGGAAGACATAAAACGATTGTCAGTTTTCGACAATCGTTGTCTGCGTAGGATTGCTCGCGTGTGGTGGCAGCATCACGTGAGTAACGCAGAAGTCCGAGAGCGAGTGTTTGGAGCAAACAACCCATGCCTCCAAACGGTTATTCTCCGACACCGCATGCGTTGGTTCGGCCACGTATTGCGCATGCCAGCCCATGCTTTCTTAGTCGAGCGCTATTTGCGCTCCCCGGAGGCGATTGGAAAGATGCCGCGTTGGACGACCAATGACGTAGAGAAGGAGCATGTAGAAAGCAAACTCAAGCTTAGCATCCATCGGACATATCCGCCTTCTAGGATGCCGACCATGCGATTCGGACTGCCAGTAGTTCGAAACTTTGTGGGCTATGGCGCTCAACAGGCATCAGTGGAGGCAGTGCCGTTCAGCCGCGATATCTGTTAGTTTATCTCATCGAACATAAGACTCCAAAACACATAAAATACCAAAACGCCGTGTATAAAATCGAAAAAATCGTTTTCTTTGCATGTTATGTTTGGTTTCCCCC